AAGCACTGGAAAACTTCCATTTTTGAATATAAATCTGTCTTAAAGGAAATCAGTGTAAGACCTAAAGAGGTCATTCAACAAAATGCTGAGTAATAAGGTAAATCATTTTTAAGGATTAATGAGATTAAGTTACAAATGGCATTTTAAGTACCCCCTTGAACTGATTATTCCAAACTAAAGTATTTATCAGTAGTCCTTTCTAGAGACTCCAATGAAGACAAAAGACCAACTAAAGTAAAAATTTTAAAAGCAACTTTCTGTAGTCTGCTTGAATTTTATATGACTTAATCTTACCTGAGCTGAGATTAATGGTAAATTTAGCCAAGGTATTTTATATTGACAAAATTTGTACAATGATGGTGGGACACATGCAACTACCAGGGATTATTACACCTACCCTGAATGTTACTGAAGATTAGAACAAGTTAAACAGGTATTTTTCTAACAAATGCTAAGTTTGCCAGTATGTATCTTTAAAAATCTAAGTCAAGGGTAGGCAATTTTTTTCTGTAAAGTGCCAAATAATAAGTATTTTAGGCTTTGTGGACCAAGAGGCAAGACTGAAGATATGTTACGTAGGTTCTTATATAAAAATGAGAAATTAATTTGCACAAATTTTTATTGATGAAATTCAAAATATAATAATAATAACCGAGTAAAAATTTTTGTAATACAAGTATACTAATAAGAATTATAGAATTCTCTTTTCAAGGTGTAATGGTCACATAACTGGGGATCAAAGTTAGTGTTCCCCACCATCAAGTCAACTGCAAAGCATTCTTAGTCCCTGGGCCATGCAAAACAAGTCTTCAGACCATATCTGGCCCACAGATTGTACTTTGTTATCCCTTACTCCAAATACTGAAGTTACTTTAGAAACAAAACATTAACACCACAAACATCTTAATTTCCAAGAGTCAGCTTCTAAAGAACTGCAAACAATCTGAATATTAAAACCTTCAAATTCCTTAAAGTGCCTAATCTTTAACAATTTCTACATTTCTATATTTGTACAAAGCAATGACATTTTTCAAAGCAATGACATTTTTCGAAGCAATGTATTCTTCCTTGACTCTTAGCTAAGGGCTAAGGGTAAACAAAGTTTACTGAAGGCAGAAGAGAAATTTCATCTTCTTAAAAATATCACAATCTAAGAATCCAAGTTACATAGGAATAAAAACAATAGTTAAAAGTGTATGTAAGAAACCAGGAAGAAATAACTGAGAAAGGTACATGAAACAGTAATAAAGTGACGAAGAGGAGAATTGGGGGCTTCTCAATCAAATGGGGTGGGGGGGCTAATCTACTAAATTTCATAAAAGCAGATCTTAACACTTTAAAAAAAAAAAAACCCACTGCGGACGAGTGGATTCCAACTCATAGCAACCCTACAGGACAGAGTAGAACTGCCCCACAGAGTTTCCAAGGAGCGCCTGCTGGATTCAAACTACCGACCCTTTGATTAGCAGCCATGGCACTTAACCACCAGGGTTTCCTTAAACACTTTAGGTAATATTAATTTGAAGTAAATGTTTTGTTTCAAATTAACTCTGAATATTACTCTGAATTATGTTCTTATCCTATTCTAATCATTAATTTAAACTTACATAACTTCGCACTGATAAATGTCTTTGCAAAAGTTAAGAATAACCTTGCTCCCTACATCTTTCAAGTGAGTTCCATTCAATTAATATCTCAGCCTCACCAACAAGAGCCCTAGACTACAAAAACATCACTTCTGTGGTAGAAAGACATACCTGACACCTACAATTGCAAAATTAAAGGAAATACTCATTCTTTACTCCTAATGATAAATGAAAATATTAAATTTTCATTTAATGTTAAATGAAGATATTAAACATTTAAAATATTTTCTTATAAATGATGACATTAACAATGGTAGTTCTCTAATAACTTAATTTTATTTAGGTTATGGAAAAAGTCTAAAACCAACTAAGCAAAATATATAAACCTAACAAGGAAGGGAAGCATATTGCCAAATATTAAAATTTAAAAATATCTTTTTCTACACCTTTCTCGGGGGAATGCAAGGCACTTTATAGGCATAGTAATTTTTCAGTGTTAACACTTCTGGGAGTTAGGTAAAGAACCAATTGATTTTTATACCTAAAAAGTTTGGATTTCTGATCTTAACACTTTAAGATACATTACAAAAGCATTTTGATTTGACAAGTCTCTTTTGCCCTAGTAATCTGATCTAATACAGTAATGAAGTTTCTTAAAATTTTGAAAAATGAGGAAATAAACTAAAAAGGTGTGAGCAACTTATAGTCTGGAAGTGACCGCTGGCAAGAATTTCTCAATACTCAATTGCTTTTAATAACCCTCAACGTATTTTAATCTAAACTAGTGGTTAAAGGATGGAGACAGCAGAAGGAAACAAGCATGTGTGGTTTGGAAAAGCTCCCCAGGTTTTTCTAATAACCCCAAATCCAATTTAGAACCACTTCTATACATATTTGTTAACATTCAAATTAAAAAAAAAAACAAAAAACCCATGGATTCTATCTGCACAACTCAATGTAAGTGTTGGTGCAAAATTCCTAATCATTCCTAATTTTCAGTTCCTCTGGCTCCAAAAGTGATAAAATCTGAAAATGAAGCATTAAAAAAATTACATTTAACCTGAAGTCAAAATTTTAGAGCTGAACAGCATCTTAGAAATCATCTAGTCTGAATCTTCTGGTTCTTCAAGTAAAGAAAGAGAGACCCCAAAAATGTGCCCAAGATCACAAACCAGAGAGTGACAGAGCTGGGACTTCAACTCTAATGCCTTGACTCTAACTTCAGTGCCCTTTTAAACAGTCCAAGCTGCTACATCCTCTTCAGGCAACTTGAAATCAGGATTATACATGAGAACTATTTAAGAAATGTTGATTTCACCTACTACTTAGTGTGAAGAACTGTATTTTAGTTCAAGGTAAAAGTTTTTAAGAAAATATTTATTTTCATAGTATAGTAAATATTAACAGAACTTGAGTTCTGATAATTTAGTAAATACCCATTCATATAAAATTCCAAATTATTGTTACTGTCATCTTAATATTTAAGAAATTTAAATAAGATGATTCAACTTCTCACGTTAAGAAATTATTTTCCCCTACTTAACTACAAAAATTGCAGTAAGCATCTTAGTGCAGTGAGAAATCTTAAGTCTGGAAATCAAGACATCTGGGTTTCTGCCTCAATTTTATAATACTCTTAACTGGCTTATTAGCAAATCTCAACCTCTGACTCCAGTTCTCATCTGATTAAGGATCATCATAATAAGAGTAACTATTGTATAAATTTAGTGTCAGACATCTTACCTATATCCTGTCTAATTTTCACATCTTGTAAGACAGGCAAAATTTTTACCTATTTTACAAATGAAGAAACTGAGACTTCAGAGAGATTAAGTAATAAATTTTCCAACCAAACTGAGCTTGTTAGTGGCTGAGCCAGGAATTTAAACCAAGTTCTGCCTGACTCCAGAATAGAGCCCATGGTCCTTACATTCCACCACTTTGCCCAAATCCCACCACTTTGCCTGTATCCTTGAAATAATCTGTGATCCTTGTCCTTAGGGAAGATAAAAAGTACTACATCTGCTGAACTATTAGGGAGATAAAATAATAAGATAAATGAAAATATATATTGTGACACTTTTAGTTATTAAAATAAAAATTAATTTTAATAAAATATTTAAAAACTAAGTTATGCTATAGATACTATTCCTATTACTGCTATTAGCACAGAAGCACTGTACAATTAAAAAATATAGTAATCTTGCTTTTAGAAGTAACACTGTAAATCAAGCTAGAAAACAAGCACCTTTATTTCTACTGCAGTAGTTGAAAACAAAATTACTCTGGAAGCCCCATTAAGTCACATACATTAATTTTAAAGTATTTAATAAAACCAGAAAAAAATGACAAAACCTGATAGAACAGAAAGAAGAAATCAAGAAACCCTGATACTTGTCCCTGCCCTTTTAAACAGATAAAAAATACTCCCAGATACGCAAGAAAAGACGATGAGATGTTTACCATTGGACACCCACAGGGTCGCTGAGTCAGAATCAACTCGATGGCAACGGCTTTCATTTGGTTTATACAAAGTATTTACATTCTAGTATTAACCCAACTTCACCACTGCAGATGGATGAAGATAACTGGTATTGCTACTTTAGAGAAGTCAAGATGTTTCCCCAATACAAGGTTTTGTCATGCCTTAAGTTACATTAGTACCAGTAAAATGTTCAGTAGAGAGTGAACAATTTAATCCCTGAGTGTGGTCACTGGCGCTTTCTGAAAAATTTAAAATCTAGGAGGGAAAAATTAGGACTAGTGTGAAGCATGATTATTAATGAACGCTGTCTAAAAACAAAACCAGAATTGAAGATTCAGATTACATATTACCTATACCCCATAACTAAAAACATTCGAAATAAGCTCAAAATAAAAGACACTGCGCATAGTTTAGTTATATGTCCTAATACATGACCTGGTAACATATGACAACTTCTTTACATAAAAATCATCAATACCTCTATGACTCTGGGTCCTTTTCCCAACAATGGCCAAAATGTTCATCTCCGTGTCTTGGAAAAATTCCCACTCTAACCATGTCAATTCCCTTGGATTTACATCTAGATATAACTTCTTTTTTTTCCCACTTCTCTCTTTTACTCCGGTTGGACAACCCCCCACAGTACCACGCAAACTGCCCATTAAAGGAGCGTTCTTCACCTGACCTACCCTCTACATTAATCATTCATCCCATACCTAACTGTGTAAATTGCGAGCAGGAGGGAACTAAAAACTGCAAATTCAGAAAACGTGCAAAAAGAGAAATAAAAAATAGAGGAAGAGATGGAAGGTGTGGGGAAGGGCGAGCCCCGCCTGTTAACCTTAAGAAAGCTGAGGAAGAAACAGGGCAGGCAGCAAGAACCCGGCGCCCAAGCAGCGCCAACTCCCACCGCCGCTCACTCCCCTCACCTCGATCTCGCGGATGTTGTTGGAGGTGACGAAAATGCCGATGCCAATGGGAATGAAGATGAGGCCGATGATGAAGAACGTAGGTAGCACCGTGCCCGCTGTGAGGATGGGTTGCCAAGCGGGCAGCCGTTGTTGTTTGAAGGCCGTATTATCCGGTCTCCGGTTCTTAGTGGTGCCCCCGGGAGCACCCGGGGGCCCACCGTCCACTTCATCCTTCGCGTTATAGTTCATCGCCATCGACCCCCACGGCGCGGCTCTGCGACGAGCAGGTGGATCGCCGAGGGGACCCGCCTGCTGACCCTGACAAGAGACGCGCAGACACCGCCGCCGCCGCTACCGCTGCCGCCGTCGCCGCCACCTCCGCCGCCGCCACCTCCGCAGTTGAGGCGGAAGAGGCGGGACACCCTTCCGCGGGCTGTCGCTGACCGGAAGCGGGAGGTGGCTGGGGACGCCAGGGGAAGAGAAAGAGGAAGGAGGGAGAAGACCGAGGGATAAGGGGAGGGGAATAGGGAAGAGGATAGAAAGGGGAGGGAAAAGGCGGACGCACCCTGATCATCTGCCCTGTGACGACAAAGTGAGGGGCTCAGCTTACAGAGCGTGAAACTACGTTAGCGCATGCGCGGGCCTAGGTGCGACGCGGCCTCGGCGCTTGCGCCATAGATGCGTTTTCGCTCCACTCCACGACGCTTCAGTTCGTAGGTACCTGGCTGCGGCTCTGGTTATCATGGTGACGGACAGCCGTTCTAGTTCGCAAGCCTTATGCCGGGTCTGAGCCACCCGCGTCAGCCCTGGAGCTGCTAACAAAGAGGTCTTTCTGGTGGCTTCAACGCCAGCCAGGTTTTTCTTTTTACCTGGATGCCCTCTCTGAAGGGAGTCGAGCATTTAAAGAGGTTACACCAAGGGAGCTTGAACCTGGTGGGATTGGCAGTATTTGTTTGGGTTATAAAACCGTGACCTTCTCTAAGTAAACCGCCACTCGAGGTGCAAATATAAAGACTGAGATGCAGGACGTGTTGTCCTTTTGTCCTAATGTCAAGATTAAATAATGTGACTTGTTTAACCCTATTATCCTTTCTCTAATTGAGCTATCCTCAGCTATTTTTCCTCCATTAATGGTCCTCTTCAACGGTTTCCTGTTTTTCCTTCCATTATGTGTCAGCGTTTCTCTTTTGCACATTGATTTAAGAAGTGTTTTTTTAATAAGCTGTAGCTCCTTTTAGACTGCTAATGATCAAAAACCTCAAGAGAGTATGGCACTAAAATAAAATGAAATACTATACAGGCACCTTAAAACTGCCAAGTATTTAATGACCCAAGGAAATTCTCATGATATAAAAAGTGGATAAATCAGGATGCCAAAGTAGAATAGACATATACAGCCCGACTAAAAAGTAAGTAGTAGTAACCTCTGTTTACAGGATGGAGAATGTTTGTTTGCTTCTTTGCACTTTTCTCTATTTTCCAAAATGTTGATAATAAGCATATATTATTTGTAATTTTTAATGTGTATACAATCCACATTATACTGACTTCTTTGAAATCCAGACCAGAGATGAAATTGTATTATCTGAAAACAAATGCTCAAACTTTTTTTTTTTTTTAAGTAAGGCACAGTTAAGCCTTTTGAAAGGGAACTAAAGGGTGTTTGATCTTCATAGTTTGCAATTAAATTTTTTTTCTGAATGACCACAAGTCACAAGATGTAAGCCAATTGAATATTTATCTGGCAGATTTTAGAGGAATATAATGCTTGGTACCTTCTACCGACATGCTTGATACCTTCTACTGACTTGCTTGGTTTTGCTTTTACGTGACTGATAGCGACCTTATGTATAACAGAAGAAATGTTGCTCAGTCCTGCACCATCCTCATAATCATTGCTATGCTTGAATCCATTGTTGGAGCCACTGTGTCAATCCATCTTGTTGACAGTCTTCCTCTTTTTCACTGACCCTCTACTCTACCAAGCATGATGTCCTTCTCCAGGGATTAGTCCCTCCTAATTACATGTCCAAAGTAAGTGAGATGAAGTCTCGCCATCCTTGCTTCTAAGGAGCATTCTGACTGTTATTTCTTCCCAGACAGATTTGTTTGTTCTTCTGGCGGTCCAGGGTATATCCAGTATTCTTCACCAACACCATAGTTCAGATACATCAATTCTTCTCTGGTCTTCCTTGTTCATTGTCCAGCTTCAGCATGCATACGAAGATATTGGTAGCATACTTAGGTCTATATTTCGTTTGATCTATGTAAGTTTACCTTCAACCTCAGGCTCAGATGAAAAACAATCCAGTGCAGTTGATGGGGAGGGCGTGGAGTCCTTTTATTTTGCTAAGTTCTGTTGATTAGTAAAAATACATATAATAATGTCGGGCATAACGCAAAACTGTAGAGCATAAGGCAAGTTTTTTTCTCCCCGTTACTGCCTATACCTCACACCCACTAAAAATGTGATCGCTCTTAAGCAATTTGCTATTCCAACAGTCTGTATGAATGGTCTATTTTTTTTCTTCAATTTTTTAAAATTTGTTTTGAGTGATAATGATGTATTGACCTGCTTCCTTTTTCTTTAGTTTCGTTTGTTCGTAGGAAAGATTAGTCAACTTTTTGTCTTTTTCTTTCTTATTAGAAATTCCATTTTGACTGAAACATGGACTTGTAGAACAGAAAGCTTCGTTAGACTTTTGTCTGAAATTTTCATTTTCAGATGAGGGCCAAAGGGATGAAATTGCTCTCCCAGATCTCTTCATATTCCTCCAGTTCCTTTCCCACTACTCTACTCTGCGACCACAATTTGTTTCTTTACCCAGCTAACATTTTCTTTCACTTCTACATCATTTTCTCAGGGGACTCAGATTTTTGTGACTTCCTCAGTCACACATCATTTTATGAGAGTCTTTACTAGGTAGTTTTTCATTTACAGATGAAGTAGGGATTTAAAAGTGTTGTCAGGGGCAACAAAAGAGAACGGTTGTTCTCACAATGGATTACCAGTATATGCATTTTCAAACTATGGTTGCTAGGAGTGACTGATGTGTGTGTATGTGTTAATGATACATTTAGATTCCACTTGTGTAACAATTGTTGATTTGCTGATTCCTGGTAAAAGTGGAATTTATGTGTCTAAATAACGTTTATTAATTCTACCAGGTCAACATAGGTGTGTAAAGAATGCACGTGCCCAAATATAAAAGTAAATCCGAAATGATAGAGCGGATGCAAACACAACAAAGCTTTTGGAGATTTTCATTTCTTAGTTCAATTGCTGTGTTTAAGCCAGAGAACTAAGTAAACAGGAGCCTTGAGAAAATACTATAGAATATCTTAAGCCATGAAAAATAACTATCAAATAACATGAAGAACTAAGAAGAGGAAACTGAAACTGGCCTTTTTACTGTTTTAGGCTCCAATGATGGTTGGTTAATTGGCTGGTTGTGTGATGTTTGGTGATGCTTTAGTCCTTATAGTTTCTGATCATATTCAAACCATTTCATATCTGTAGCTTAACATTTAATATTTAAGAAAGTTGAAGAGGGCTGAGAAAAGTGCCATAGTTTTTTTACCAGCATGAATTTAAGAGAAACTTCTTTGTGACTGGAAATGGTTTTCAGTCATTGGATACTATTTTTACTTGTATATTTTTGCAGCAAAAAAAAAACTTTTCTTTTTCCCCCTAGTCAATTAACCAAGCAGATTACCTTGGAGAACTTTGGTGGGAATAAATGCTATTCGTTTTTAGTTATCTGAGGATTCTTAGAAGAGTGATAATAGAATTTCATAATAAAATTAATTTCTTGCATTTATTGCATCAGAGATTGATTCAAACTGATTTTGAAAAATCTGTTTTTTTTTAATTGACCTTTTCCTGATGTTTATATAGTGTATTTATTGAACTCTTTCAGCTGGGCATTTAAGAAAATAGTTTTGTTCTCACACTGAAGTTATTGGTGATGTGATAGAGATTTTGCAAGTTTTTAGACAATCACAGTCAGTTTCAGAAATACAAGTCAAACGATATCTTAATGGTTAGTCTCATTAAAGGAAAGAGCAATGACATCAAAATTCCATAGAAGACAGCCTAAGAACTTTGTTTTGAGAGGGAAATAAATTTTCATTTCTCGTAACGCTACACTTCCGTTAAATGAAAGAATATAATTCTAATGAGATCTCAGACTTCTAACTTTTGCTCCATAGAATGTTTCAGTTGATTATATCCCTGTGGCACATATTTTTCCAATAGATGCCATCAATTATAAATAATGTCTTTCCTTCAAATATAATGTAGCCATCTTTAGATTGACAGACAACTGACATCTGTTACAGATATTATAGTGAAATTAATTATTTTAAAAATAGGGGGGTAAGGGAGAAGGCTTTGCTTATTCTATGAGAATTAAGAGACAGGAAAGTAAATCTGAAAAAATGTAAATCCTCTATAGATTGTACGTTTGGACTATTTTTATACTTATTTTAGACTTACATTTTTCTATTTTTCCAAGTGTTAAATTATCGGGAGTCCCAGAGGGGAAGGTTTTTGTTATTTGTTTTTTCAAACAGTTGGGTCACTACTACCTATGAACTTATTATTTTTTTTAAATAACTCCAATATATTTTTGAAGGATGGCCCTCACAAAATAGACTTAACTGTGAAAGTCAACTTTTGTTGAGCCTCAGAAGTGAAACATGCTTTTTAGCTACTAAAACTAACCATTCGTGACAACAAAGACCAAGACCTCTCAGGACATCCCTCCGACTAGCACACTGTGAGGCACATGGTAGGGGTTCAGCAAACTTCCACAACATCATTTTTATTGTCACTGAATCTTCTGGAAAGAATAATCTGGACTAACTTCACTTCTTCACCCCAATCACTCAGCAACCCACTGCTCCCTGACTTCAGACCCCACTTCCACTGAAACTGCCTTGGTAATTCACACTTATCCTTCAAGATTCAGGCCAGCAGCCAAATTGAACAAACTTTTCTCTGTCCCCTCAGGCTGAGCTGACAGCTGCTCTCTGAGCTCAGGGCAACTTATATATACTTCTATCCTTGCATTTATCATATAGTATTGAAAAATACCTGTTTACGTCTGTCTTTCCTACTAGATATAAGCTCCTCAAGGTCAGAACTGTTTTTATTCACTTCTATTTTTCCAACACCTGCAAGGTGCCTAGAACATAAAAGGTATTCAGTTTTGTTGACCTGACCCTACTCTCAGTGAACTCACATTTAAGTGAGAGAGACAGCTTGCCAACAAACAATTGAAATATAATGAGGTCAGTGCATACAAGATGTGTGAACAAGGTAGGTACTCAGAGGAGGTACCACACCTCATCCTCTTTATGATGTCAAACTCTAAACTGTGAAGAAATGGGTCCTAAGGTCTGAGTGATACTGTAGTTTTCTACCCAGCAGAGAATAGGATCAAAAATAAAGAATAAACCTTATACTGCAAGTTATATTAATGCCATGCAAGACTGTGTGTCCTGCGTGATCCAAAGAACATGATTATGTTCTTTCTCTCAAGCAAGATCTCAGCAGTTTGCGGTTGTCCTGGGAACAGATTTCTGGTACCCTCCATTTCTAGGTTTTAGTTTGTTAACTTGTAAAGGTAATTGTCACACGACCTACCTGTACCTGTGCTTCTTGTGGGAACCAATAGTTGGCTTTATGGTGAAGGGAAAATGAATGAACTCTTGTCTTGTTAATGTAACGTAGACCATCTGGTAGCCTGATACTGTGAGAGCCCTTTGTCTTTGGAGAGAGCATGCCTTCCCTTAGAATAAGTGATTGTTGAGAGACTTATTTAATACAGAGGATTCTGAAAGGGAAGCAGCAGCAGCCAGAATAATTTGGTAAGGAAGATCTAGCACAGAGTACCCTGGCTGAAATATTGGTCCTAGAAGGAGCAACCCTTGGGGTTAGGAGTCAATAATTAGGTACCTATAAATACCCTGTCACTTTGACTAAACATATGCTTGTTCTCAAGGAGGAGAAAGAAATATGTCCTGAGAGCTGGAAAGACTGAAAAAGAGAATGTGATCATGGAAAAGGGCTGTAAAGACTGGGGGAAACGAGAAATGGCAGCTGAAGGAAGAGTAGAAAAGGCCTCTCCCTAGCAGGAATCATATTTCATTTTACAAACATTTATCCAGTATCTTGTATTCACTGTGAAGCACATATAAGTCATATCTTTAAGAAGCTTATAATCAAACTGGGAGACAGTGTTGTACACAAATGCTGGAAGCAGAATGGGGCAAATGTAGGCAATAGGAAGATGCTTCTGCAGAGAAAGAAAAATATTTTCTCCTTAAAGATACTTACCTATAAAATACGGGTGATAATGCAAGGGAGATTAAGGAACAACTGGTTATCCTGAAGAGAGAAAGAGAAAGCAAGGATTGATTATCGGTAACTGCAGCCCAGGGAGCTGGGTTCCACCACATTATCTGCAGATCAGGTTTCTATGCCTGGGACAACTCAGTCAGTGAGGGTTGCCCAAGGTAATCCATTTGAAAGGAGGCCTCAGTGCTGACAGCTTTCATAGGTTCCTTGGGATATCATTAAAGACAAATTTCAAAAGTGGATTTTAATGACACTCAAAAAAAAAAGAAAAGTATAGTACAATGTGCCCTACTGCCAATAAGCATGGGGCCCAGGAAAGTTGCTTCAGTTTCCCTACCCAAGGGAAGAGCTGTTGCTCATTAAAGGTGACTCTATCCCTGAGCTCAAGGGAATGAAGGTGGAAAGACTCCATTTCCTCCTCCCTCTCCTTCCTGAGAGGGTAGACCTGGGCTAGTTGGTGGAGCACAAGTGGATGGGAGATGCTCCTACTTCTTTCAGTTTCACCTGTTTTACATTGTCAAATAGAACAAAAGAAACGAAACTGGAGACATTTCCTTCCTTTGCAATTTTTGCAATCCCTGGAGACTGGACCAACAGCTTTCAAACTAAGCCACTCAGGTGAGTCATTTAATCTAACAATGGTTAAAAAAAAACCAACACATGAGCAAATACGGTACACTCCCTGTCATAAGAGACCCAATTGAGTGTCTGAGAGCTCCTTCAAGAACCCCCAACATCTGCAACTCTCCTGCAGAAAACATCTTGGTTTAGACAGCCTTCTTGTCTAATTTTTTGATAGGTATATCTTGAAATGATAAACAGGAAAAACCCACTTCTTTGTTTCCAAATAAGGCAAAACCAAGTTAGGGCTAGAAGTAGCTACAGGCCTACCAATTCTGCCGCAGAACTGGTAAATAAAAGGGATCACAGCACAATCCCACCCTCACGCCCACCCCACTTTGCTGGAACCATTACCCAATTGCCTCTAAAAAGGCTGGGCTGTGTACTCTGAAAAAACTTAGTAATGTTTGCTCTACTAAGAAATCTGCCTGTAGATTGACAGCAGAAAACAGTGTGGGTGATATCTGAGTGTTGATTGGCAATATATTTGGTGAGGATGAAGGGGTGAGGATAAAGGGGTGTCTTGTCATTTTCATCCTACTAAATAATCAAACTATGATGTAACTCCGAGGAAAAGCATCCCTCTTTTTGACTCTAATACGACCTGATTCTTGACTCTTTGAAGCAGACCTAATTTCAGCTGCCTCCAAAGCTGCTGCACTGCTTCTGCTTATGCCCAGTGAAAGTTATTATATCCATAGAAAATGATAATTTTAAAGCAAACAAGTTTAAATAAAAAGGTTGACTACTCATTTTAAATTATTTTAATTTTATGAAGATTGTGTTTCAACTCAAAAACAGAATATTGCACAATGCTTTTATATTACAATTGTCCTTTTTCTCACTCTCTGGTGAGATTTTAATAAACATGGTTGACTTTGGAAGAAACACAGAGAATGTCTTGATTATTAAGTAATTTCGATAATCTGTGAAGAACTGAAAGCAGGGTATTACATATAAAAGACAAGTACATATCTGTAAATTCAGTTGGCTTCAGTGAAAATAATAAACTTTTCATGTAATTAATAAAACTCAAATGAGACAAAATTAAGAATGCTGTGAAGATAGAAAGTCTTTCCAAAATTACTCAATATACTTTTTTGTTTTTTAAAATCCACTAAGCCTGTAAAAACTCTAAGAATATATAATCACACTGTATGCCTCTTACATTGAAGAAGCTAAGGCCTGTTTTTTTTTTTTTTAAATCTAAATTAAATAAACACTCATCTGCACTATTAAAAGAGCAGAATCTGCCAATGGTAGGGTAAAACTCCCAAAATAACATATCCAAAAATAACACCAGAAATGTCATGGCATCTTTAACATTTTTGTTTAAATTTATAAATCTACAGCATTTTCCCTAAGTAACACAGTTATCATCACATCTTGTAGTTATGGAGCAGATGCTGAAAATTTAAGAAAATAAAATATTAATGGTCACTAAGCCAAAGTTATTTCCACCAAACTCTCCCAATTTTTATAAATTTATTGCAACAATTTTTATTGTTTTTCCTCTTTACTTTCTAATTACTATTTTTAGCAAAAACATAGCTCTAGGGGTACAGAGGGAGACATATGCTTCAGGTGCCATTTGTGGTTTTTTTAAATTTCCGTGTTACACTGTTGTTATTTTTAGATTTGATTCACATCAAATTCATGAGCAGGTCGCACTTTGGCCATGTTTTTAATCATATTCAGGAAAATCCAAGCACAGCATAAGGAGAAAGGACACAAAGATCTTACATTGCCACCAGCTTTTAGAAGCTTACTCTGCCACCAACTTTTAGAAGCTGTGAATTATTTCAGTAGTGTTGGTATCTCTGTTAATGCTTAAATTAGATATTCCATACCATAAACTAGTTGTTTTGTGTTTTAAAGTCTGCAGAAGATACCCTCAAAAAGCACCCTCATAAAAAAGAAACAAGGAAAATATGGATTAGTTCAATTGTGGCGCCTTGAGCTGGAAACACTGATTATGATTATATTTTAAAAAATATAAAGTTTCAGGAAACATTTCCAATTATTCCATTAAAAAAATGATTCTCATTCAGACTGATGATTGGATATATATTTACAATAAAATGATGTAGAAATTATGTGAGCCTAGGATGGTACCAAGATTGCATGTGGGTCAATTTCTTCAATTAAATGTGGATGTTGGGATATGCCTACTTATGAACTTGTTTGCTTATTCATTAGATACGGAGCTAACTTCAGTTTTTCTGTTTTCTGTTAATTTTGCATATTCTATTGTTTTATTTTAAAATTAATCCAATTACTTTTAGTCATCTGTCACTCAGATCCCATTTGGGTTTAAACAGAGTACTTAAACATAGCTTGGGCAAAAAAAGGCTCAGCATCAGATGACTCCGATTGCACCGTCATTCTTACCGTTTCTTCATTGCAAGTATCAAATTTCATTAAAGTTTAGGAGAAAAACAACTTCAGATCCAAATATACATAAATTACTTGTAATGTTAAATTCAAAGTCAAGAAGTATTTAAAATCTTGTACTTTTCACTATTCGTGAAATAATATTCCCACAAGTTGAGAAAAAGGTTATTTGCTGCAAATGTTATATTTCAGAATATTTTTCCATCAGAGGTATAAACTTTGGCAAATAAGGAACTTAACCGTGAGTCAAAAAATACAACAATACTAAATAAAGCCCTTTTACAATTGAAAATGCCATTACAGCTCGGCACTTTTGGAAAACAAAACCCAGTAACAATAATTGAAAAAATCTCAACACATACACACTCTAGTTAATTCTTAATAAGTAATCAAAAGCCCTGCAGGTTATGTGATGCTTTCACAATCATTCAAGCTAGGACAAGACTATTCTAGCATTTCTTTTACTTACGAAAATTCAAAATAATTTTAACATTAAACATATTCATTTAATTTATAATACATACTGAATATGATTTACCAATTTCACAAAGTATACTTGAAAACCTTCCCAGGGTACATAGGGAGGAAATCCAACATTAATTTTTCTATTCCAGAGATTCAGTGTGGACACCCCTCTGTGGACACAGGTGTAGCCTGCAGACTGGAGATTATAGGCCATTAGTATTTCTTGTGTGGCTTTTAGTTTTCCTTGTGACACTCAAAAGCATTCTTTATTTAATCTCTGTAAAGTTACATGATTTCTGCATTCAGAAACTGATATGTCAACTGTTAATTTGTCTTGGTGTTATCTTTAAAGAGTTTATTGAAAACAGTCCACATTAACAAAGACAAAAAAAAAAAAGAACTATATTACTAGGGTTTCAAGTAGGCTTCAGATGCACATTTTTACATAAACCTAAATTTAAAGAAGCTCTTACGTTGATATTTGAGTAATATATCTTGTTGTTTTTTAATCTTTAAAGAATATATTCTCTAACATCCTGGTATATGTGGTTTTAAAGATCTGTCAAAATCATCAACTATCAAGAAGAAAAAATGCATCTATCTTAGGATGCCACTGGCGATTTTTTTTTAATGCTGACATTATCTAGATCAGTTTTTATATTCATGTGGGTAAGTTGTGAGAAAATCTTGACATCACCGTCCTTATTACCCGTGTACTTAGAAGTAAATAATGCAAATAGACACATAACCAAGCTGTCAGGCTGAAACTGTTCCTGCAACCGTTATGGGTTAAACTCACACATCTCCTTTTATAAATTTGTTCCATGTGAAAATCAATTCATCCAGGATTTTGGCGACAGAAAACCCGAAATAGCAGCTTCACAATTTGGTTTTAAAATTAAGCTCTTAAGTAGAGTATTTGTTAGTATTGAACCATCATCAGAACCATAGTATTATACAAACAATAATACAATTTCTTCCAGAATTTCCTGCTTCTAAATTTTACCTTTTGAATTTACCCCAGGAAAAAGAGAATGTTGTACTTTCTTTCCATCAGAAATAACAAATTGATAAATGAAAACAATTACATGTTACCATTTTGAGTGCAAAAAAAAAAAAAAAATCAACACTTTGAGGAACTGACAGTGGATTCTACAGATATATGTGCCACAGACTGAAAATGGAAACATTTTAGGGAAAAAAAATCACATTACAAAGTGTATTATCAAAATAAATTACATAGCATGTGCCCATGGACCTGAAAGCTCTGCAAAAGGAAGAGAAAATTCTTTTGGCGCAAAGATTGAATTGCTCTTGCTATCTATCTTCATATCAGCAAGGCCATTTTAAACTTTTACATTATACCCTCAAAAAAAAAATTCACTGGAAGTAGTAAATTATTTCCAGTAGTGATCAGTAGCATGGAGGACCTTAGTGATGATGGAGGGCTGTAGGAATACTCTCCATTCATAGGGATCCAGAGGAAGTACACACACCCAGTATGTGCTTGGTTACCATTTCATCTGGAGTTCATACGTAACTGGTGAATAATGATGCTTTCTATAAAGAAAAGAAAGATATGGCATTTTCAATTAAACTGGAACTCAAATTAGTAGTTTCTGTGAGGATCAATAACACATCATTTCAATAGGAGACCATGGATGTTAAACAACAAAACAAACAAAAACAGATATGTACATGAGCCCAGTAGCTTTTCCTGCAGTGCTTTACTAAGGTAACTTTTTATCAGCATATGTGCTTTATCTCCAAGATTCTTAAAGCCCTTTAGAAACCATGTCTAATATTCTAACAATATTAAGTCAATTTTTTACCAAAGGAAATAACTGAACAAAATGATAGTAATTACTACTTACATGTCCCATAGTGGGAAACTAGACTATTTCCTAGAAGTAACTCTTTTCTCCAGATAGCATTCTTTCTGTTCTGAAAAATATTTATACCCTTTTAATTTCTTATTTTATGTGTAGGGATTTGAGTTTTAATAAGGATATCCGCATTATTTATTCTTAAGAATTCAATAAATCCAGATGACTCATTTGTGTCTCACTGCTTCATTTCTGCCAGTGTCAACCTTCTGTACGTCCTTTTAAACTTAAATTTATTTTTATAAATGTAAATAAAAAACATATTGAGGTAATAATTAGAACAGTCCAGTCACATTATAGATTTTAATATTTACATTTATTTGATAGATTTTGCTTTTATATTAGCCTTTATGCCTCCATGAATTTGTATCATCATCATTTTTTCATTTGATCATTCAAGAACTATTTATTGTGGACCTACTACATGCCAGGCACCATTCTAGGCATGGAATTACAGTGGTGAGCAAAAATGAGACAGAGTCCTGCCATTACTGAGATTATACAGAGCAAATGAAAGAAAATAACTATACCTCAACTAGTTTCTCTGCCTGAGAAATATATTACCTCTCTGACAACATATGCCAATGTTATGCCATGGAGCACAGAAACTTATGTTAGGATTTATCAATGGTGTGAGGAAATTTCTACCAATTATTTTTGCTCTAATTTCAAATACCAACTTTAAATTTTATTTTTACTTAAGTAGCTAACAACTAAGTAAACATTAATTAAATTAGATTATGTCATGATCCTGTAAGTTCATGCTAATTATGTACAGTAGATGATTCTTTATCAAAAAAGAGAATGTTTTCTTAATTGGTTTCATTAGATTTATGAAAAGCTGACCACTAGGTGGAACTATTTCCATTCCTTCCTTCAGCCTTTCGGCCTGAATTTGAGATAACAGATATGCAAGCATAGTTAAGATGAAATACATAAATTTCTTATACTTAGGAATATTTGGCTACAAAGATTTTACAAAGTTTTAAGACACGCAATTTTTCGCTACAACAGAAACCCTTAAAAATCATCTTATATTTGTCATTGAAAACTTCTTTCAATTTTCTGAAGAATTTCCTTAAATTCTTTCAATTCCTAGAAATATTTAAACATTGTCAGGCAAAAAATTAATTGAAATAGTGTGTAGTTAAAAATCAGGGTCTAACAGTACACAATACTGAGGAAATCAGCACGACTTGTACAAGGCAAGGTCATGGAAGCTCTATGACCCTGAAGGACCGAATTGCTGGGCTGAGGGCTTTGGGGACCATGGTCTCAGGGAACATGTAGCTCAACTGGGATAACATAGTTTATAAATAAAATGTTCTACATTCTACCCTGGTGAGTAGCATCTAGCATCTTAAAAGCCCACGAGCAGCCATCTAAGATACTCCACTGGTCTCACCCCTTCGGGAGGAAGGGAGAATGAAGAAAACAAGATACAAGGGAGAGATTAGTCCAAGGGACTAATAGACCACAACTACTACAGCCTCCACCAGACTGAATCCAGTACAACTGGATGGTGCCTGGTTACCACCACTGACTGCTCTGGCAGGGATCACAACAGAGGGTCCTGGACAGACCTGGAGAAAAATGTAGAACAAAATTCTAACTCACAAAAAAGACCAGATTTACTGGCCTGAAAAGGACTGGAAAAACCTAGAGTGTGTGGCCCTCGGACACCCTTTTAGCTCAGTAATGAAGTCACTCCCGAGGTTCACCCTTCAGCCAAAGATTGGACAGGCCCATAAAACAAAACAAGACCGATGGGGCACAACAGCCCAGGGACAAGGACTGGAAGGCGGGAGGGACAGGAAAGCTGGTAATAGGGAACCCAAGGTCGAAGAAGGTAGAACGTTGACATGTCGTGGGGTTGTTGACCAGTGTCATAAAGCAATATGTGTACTAACTGTTTAATGAGAAATTATTTGCTCTGCAAACCTTCATCTAAAGTACAATTTTAAAAAATTAAAAAAAAAGAAAGAACCTGGCTGATAACCAAAAGGTTAGCAGTCTGGGAAAAAAAAATCAGGGTCTAAGATTAAATGCTATTTTCTCCTACTTTTTCTTTCTTTCTGTTTTTTAATCTCTGTAGTAGATTTCAATATAAAGAAGGTCTAGCTCTCAAAGCTCCCTAATAGAATTAAAGAATCTTCTCCATTTTTCCTCCCCTAACAAAGCATAGGAAACATAAGTTTAAAAAACTCAAATTCAGAATTATTCTTACTGTGGATGTAATTCAGAATACTTGTGTCTTTGTTTCCTCACTACGAGATCTAGGGGTTAGACTAGTAAAAACCGTTGCTGTCACATTGACTTTGACTCATGGTAACCCCATGTATGTCAGAGTAGAACTGTGCTCCATAGGGTTTTCAGTGGCTGATTTTTCTGAAGTAGATCACCAGGAGTTTCTGCTTATCTGTAAAGCCTCTTGCAGGCCTAACATTCTGTGTTGCCACAATATCTCCTTCTCTCTTTGAGTGTATAAACCTCTTAATTCCTAGAGTTACCTCCTCTTAATCCTAGCATTTTGCATTCTCCGTAATAATAATAGCTTTTCAGAATTAGTATTTGCTGAAAATACATATGGCAAAAGGCTCCATACCATAGAAGAAACAAGGTCTGAATGAACTAGTACATTTTATTGTGTTTAAATTAACAAACTGGCAGCCCATGAATGGTATATATTCTAATCCCATTAATCAGATTATATCATTAAGTAAGATGTCTTAGAAATACTTGACAATGTCAGAAAACAGTTTGTTTTATGTAAATTCTACTTTAATAATAAAAAATGGTGTTTAATATTTTTGTGCATAATTTACATAAACTTTATTTAAAAGAATATAATTAAGCCCATAGTACTTTGTTTTATATACATGGAAACATATTTCACCTTGTTTTTAGAAATAGTGAGACAATATCTATATGCTAATGGCTCTATTAGTTAAAAGTTACCTGTTTTAGCCAGATTTCAGCTGAACTAGCTAATACATAAAATTGTGAGGAATAAAACATGTTAACTTAAGCCATTAAATTTTGTGGTGACTTGTTAGACAGCAAAGCTACCTGATCCATGTGGAGTCCATGATTACTAGCAAAACAAAAATAATGCTTTGGGGATTAACGTCATTATTTTATGTAAAAAAAAAGTAGTAGATTTACCCCAAAAAAGTACTAGCATTCCCAAGTCTCATCCTGTCTTTTTAAAATTTAATACAATAATGTTACACATTGTATTAAAGTTATAAAGTCAGTGAGCAAATTACGTTCCAGCTCCTACTGTCCTTCATCTCATCCCAGAATAAGACCCAAATATAGGTCATTTGGGGCCTCTGAAGTGACTTTGGTAAAATCAGGTATAATTCTGTAATAATGTTTTTCTTTTTACAGATACCAGTTTTCTGACATCAGTCATTTGTAGAGTATTTAACAAGCAGATTGGAACCAAAGACCATAACTAATTACCATCTCTATTCAAACAAACAAAGAAACAAAAAAAACCCAAATCACTTGGCCATTGAGTCGATTCCAACTCATGGTGACCCCATGTGTCACCCTCTCTATTACCAAATTCAAAATAGCAATGCTCTTAAATTTGGGGCTTTACTAACATTTACTAATCTACTTTTTGCTAATGGGAAGAAAAAAAAAACCTTAAATCTCACTACACGTATAAACATGGGGAAAGTGGATTTCTATGTATTTTTGGCATTAACAGCTTACAAAACACATTTACAGACATTTTCCTTTGTATGTTTCTCTCAAGTGTTATCTTGATGATTCTTCCTTAAGAAATTTTAGGTAACACATTAAAAACATTATTTGTTATTATGACATCATTGTGCAATGATGTGGCTTATGAATTAATTATTACACTAGCTGTTAGATAACTTCCATGGAAAGGAAGTTCAGTATATTATCCATTCCTAATTATACTTGACTTGATTTCTGACCTTACTATTCATCATCCTTGAGTGGTATTCCAGAACTACTGGCCAGCCAGATGACTTGAGATCGAAAGTTATGTGCACCAGATGGGATTTGGAGAGAAATTTGTGGGGACTGTCTCTTGAGTGCTAAAGTGGGGCAACCTGGCAGTTAGCTGGAATTCTAAATCCTCTCAGGAGAGCTCCTTGGCTGTGGGGTAGGAAAGATGTACTCCCTGGAAAGTCAATGCTTCCCTCCCAAGCAATGCATATGTTTATATTCTGCCAAACTCTCCGCAAGGGAACGCTTGAGCTCTCCGAGTTTTTAAAATCTGCTCTAGTAAATGAGACCAGATCACTATAATAACTAGCCTCTAAGTTCACACACCTAAGACAAAACATAGCAGAAGTTCAACTTACATCAGGACTTTGCATCGGCAATGGAGGACTGCTTTATCCAAGGGAGACTGCCCCCCATGTTATATAAAACATTTCCTCTTGGATTTTCCATCAGTTTGGGTGGCTTATGGCCTGCATCCCATGCTCTGTGGTGGTCTGCTTGTAGAGCATAGTGCCACCTTAGGGCAGTGCTGTTCTTCCCTCTACCAGCTATCAAACTCCAGCATTGAACTTGCTGCTCTCAGGGCAATTCATCCACCTTCAAAAATGTCCTACGTTCTATACACCTTTTAGAAGTAGTAGTACCTAGATATTGTTACTTTTAAGGTTCTCATTTTCACAAACT